AGATACGATACTGAATGGGAAAGAACTCAAAGCTTCTAACGTAAGATCTAAAAATCAATTTAAGTACTTTTATAATTCGACCATATTTCCCTTATCTTAGGCAAAGGAATTTTTGTCTATCCTTCAGCTCTGGTTTAAAGGAGAGTAGCAGGAACTCTAAAGACAGAGGCAGCCGTAATTAGGGGACACCACCACAGAGAAAATGAAGCTCAAAAAGATAGCACCAGAGTCCTCTCTGTTCAGCCCTGGTCTGTGAAAATCTTGGGTGGTTTCACGTATCATTTCACCATCCTAAGATTCAAAACAAACTAAGCAATCTAAGGCAGGGCTGCTAAGTAAGCAGAGTATGGGACAGGCAAATGGGACAAGGGCCTCACTGCTGGCGAGAGGAGGAAGGGGTGAGAGATTAGATGGGGGTAGCAAAGGGACCCAAGGGAAGTCCAATTAAAAAGTATTGTCTTAATTTTGTCACGTGACAGAGAAGGTAAGGGATGAACACATTCCGAGGTGGATGGGAAGGAATGAAGAAAGCAAGCCTGAAGGACAGCGACAGGCAAAGAACTGGCAGCAAGTAGGGATAAATCTGACACCCACAAAGGAATGAGCCCAAACAAAAGCACCTTTTTTGATAATTCCCTGATTCCAGCAGGCCTCTGTATCCCAGTATTGTACTCCCTCTTTTATTTCATCTAGTCAGAGTATTTCTGGCACACTTTTCAAAAAAGAAAGAAAAAAACTTCTGTTTAGAAACCCTGTTATTATTTGCACTCATCCTTACATAGCAGTAAAATTTATAATAAACTTTATATCCATATGTATTTTTCCAGAGAACTGTTAAACATATACATATAATTAACAGCTTAATATACCATCCAATCTATTTTTCCTCAACAATGCACCATAACCTAGCTGACCCCAAACTCCAAAATAATAATAAAATCACAGTAACGTGCAAAGAATAAAAGCTTTAGTATCACCTGCTTGATATCTGCCTTGCAGTCCAACAACAAAAGTTTTTTATATTTATCAATAAGAGAACATTAAGCATATACGAATTTCTTCCAGAAGAAACTATGGGGAAAGGTCCTAACTGCCCAACAACCAATGCTGCTTCTTCCTTGTAGAAAAGAGATTTCTACACACTGGGTCTTAAGAAACCAACCTCTAGAAACTGTTAGTCTGCAGCTAAGAAATATCTCATGAAATAAATAACTGTAAGTATAAATCAATACAGCTTCAATTAACAATGAGTATTTAAAAAAAATACTAAAATGCTGAGAATTCCGGAAAAAGAATTATACCATGAGTAGGCTGTGTTTGCAAAACAGATCTCACTTCATCTCCTCAAGTTAGAGCTTGGCAGCCTGGCTCCATTCACCATTTGGCTGTTTTCTATTTTCCCTTCTTCCATTTCTGGTGAAATGGACTGGCTTACCTGGCTTCTAAAAATTTATATTATCTCAAAACAAATATACTTCTGAATTTAAAATGTCATAATCTGCCTGCAAATTTCTAACCTGCTAGACAAATCTCAACTTTCATTTCTTAGTGTATAATGCAACTTATATTTTTAAAAATCCTAAAAACAACTTTAGATATCTTGCTCTTTATTTTTAACCCATATTTTAAGAAGTCTGCAGCTTTGTCCCTCTCATAAAATTACAAGGGTGACTAACCATCAAGGAAGAAAACATTAAGAACCAACTAGTAATCTGAAACCTCTAAATGTACTTCAGGTCAAACAACATACAAAAATGCAACGAAAACCACTGATAGAAAAGAAGTGATAAGAGACTCTATTCAAAATAACATATATCAGGATCAACTGTGGGAAGAATCTTTTAGGATGCCTTTGAATAGAGCTGAAGAGATTGTTCAGGGTTAAGAAAAAGCTCACAAACAGCAAAAGGAAAGCTGGAAAAATGAAAACACGTGCTGCTAGTGCAGACCACCTTGGGGTACAAGAGTTGGGTAACACAGAAGGGGCCAGATAAGGCACAAAGCAGACAAGTGGGCAGAGCTGAAACAAGCTACAGCCACTGACATTGGAAGAAGAACCAGATACAGACATCTGGAGAGACCCAAATGCTCAGGCCACCTTAAGCAGTAGTCTACAGACTTTTTTACACCAAAACTACAGTAAGAAGACTTTACACAACTTAGCACACATACATACATGTGTATATATATAGCAAATGAAAGTTTATTTAAGTAATATCTATTCTTATTAGTGTGGTATATATTATTTACTTTGCAGTATTTTCTTTTTCATTTAAAATGAAATGGGCTCAACCCACTGAATCAATTTTAAAACCCTGTATAAGTCATGTCCTGTAATTTGACAAACACTGTGCTGAAGTAGTCACTGCTTGACTTTGGGGACCAAGGAAAGTCAAGGGCTCCATGAGGTCATAGCTCAGCATAAATCCTGTTCTTATATTGGTCAAATTTCTTATTTATTTCACTTGCTTTGGAATAGGTTTCAATCCAGTCAGTTACAAGGTGTTTCATCATCCAGCACCACCACTCTTCCAATCTGAATCCTCCACAACACTCCCTGAAGAACATGCATCCCAGCAAAAGTGATCTGCTGATTACCTGCTTTCCACATGCTAGATTTTGGCCTTTGCCTCTCCCTGGTATGCTTTTATCTTCATAGCTTATTTCCACCTACCCAAATATCTTCCATTCTACAAGGTCACGCTAAAGTAGCCCCTCCATGCAGAACAAATTTCCCCTGCCTCTGGAGTTCTAAGCACTTTATCCTTCCTTCCTATCTTCCATTCACACACACCCTGCCGCATTCCCATGCTCTCAGAGCCCAAACAGTCTTGAGAAACTACTTGGTATGTATTGTATGTGTTGACTGAAAAACTGAATATGCATCTTCCATGTAGACAGAAAACTGCCTACCAGGCACGACAGGGGCTAAAGACTGAGAAAGGTCAGGTCAGAACCGAAACCACCAAAAACCCCTCAACCAAAACCAGAACCTTCTATTCTTGTCAGCAGATATTATCCCTTCTGCCTTTGAAAAAAATTATAATAAGCATTATAAGAAAATATGAATGCTTTCACAATGTTTACAAATTCTTTCAATTAAGAAAGTAGCTAGGCATGGTGGCATAACTTGTAGTTCCAGCCACTTGAGAGGCTGAGGCAGGAGGACTGCTTGAAGCCAGTGGTCTGAGGCTGTAGTACACAGCTATGCCCAGACTCCAGACCGGGCAACAATATAGCAAGACCCTAATTTAAAAAAAAAAAAAAAAGTATTATAAGTACAGATTAGCAACTTAATGCCATGTTCATATTTTAACTTCTCCTATTTAAAATCTAATCTCCCAAATGTAATAAAGCTACCCGTAGACAGATGGGCAGTATTTGGCAAAATGAATAGATACCACCAAGTTTCTCTCCCTCTGGCTCATTACGATGCAAGCACACAGGTTCACTTTCCCTCAAATCAGCCTCCTTTCCTCATTACCATATTCTTTTGATTTAACTTATTTCCCTGTGTCTTGTTTCAGAAACAAAATCTTCCACATCATCTTTTAATCATGCATTTTTATTTTAGTCTCCCGAATTAAACAAAAGAATTTTCTTTGATCTAAGCCAGAAATATTAACATCAAACTGTCTTAAATCTATATACAAATATATTTTACATTGATCTTCTAACAGCTTCCTCATCTGACAAATGCTTATCAAGTAACTGCTTGATACTCAAATGGTGAGCTAGAAACTCAACATCTTTGAGGTACTAAACTGAAAATGCCACACTTCCAAAGGAAGGAAGATAATGGGATAATAGCAAATTCAAACTCATTATCCCATGTTGAAAATTGTGTGCAATTCTCGTGTAATTCTATACTACAAAGAATCAGTAAGCAGCAGGAAGAAAATTCTAAAGATAATATCAAGGTAAAATACCTCAAACATATATACAGTGTAATGAATTGGCAAAAAAAATAAGAAAGAAGAAAGTAAACATAAAAAGCCCTTAAAAAATTTGTCTTTTAGGAATGCTGCTCAACTGTTAAGAAAATCAGGTCAGACATTAAATACTATACAGAAAACACTTCTAAATATTGTACAGAAGATAATTCTATTTTAACATTAGTAAAAAGGCATTAATATCATTTGATCATAAGTGGTCTTTTTGCTTATGCTTTATGTAAACAATATATACTGGGCAGAGCTGAAACAAGCTACAGCCATTGACATTGGAAGAAGAACCAGAGACAGCCATCTAGAAAGACCCAAATGCTCTAAGGTAAAAGCTGCTCCCTCAGGCCACCTCAAGCGGAGGGACTTTTGTAAAAGTCTGTAGACTTTTACACCAAAAGAAGTAAGACTTCACACATCTCAGCACATACACATATACACATATATACAGCAAATGGAATATATTGTTCCGTAACAATATATTATATATTCTAAAACAATAAATGGAATATATATTAGTTATGCTCAAATGCCTAGGAGTATTTAAAATTTATGTCAGGCACTGTAGCTCATCCCTGTAATCCCAATACTTTGGGAGGCTGAGATGGGCAGATCACTTGAGCCCAGGAAGTTGAGACTAGTCTTGGCAACATAGCAAAACCCAATCTCTATAAAAAATACAAAAAATTAGCTGAGTTTGGTGGCATGCAGCTATAGTCCCAGCTACTTGAGAGGCTGAAGTTGGAGGATCACTGAACCCAGGAGGTGGAGGTTGCAGTGAACAGAGATCACACCACTGCACGCCAGCTTGGGTGACAGAGTGAGACCCTGTATCAAAAAAAATAATAATTAAATTTATCAAGTATTCCAAACTCTATTTATGCCTCTAAAACTATCTTAAGTGTGGTGGGCCATGCCAGTGGTGAAATCATGCAAATATGAAATGATTTTATAATAATATTTTTGAATATTTTCACAAAACTGAACTATAATCAATGATTATTAATCAACTATTTTTAGTATATCTTATAAACACATACTAAAATATTATCTTACCTTAAATATGTGCCATATATGAAGAATAATGCCATCATCAGTCCATTTAAAATAAAAATTACGGCAACATAAAAGCAAGCAGGATCTCCCAATCCTTTAAAAATAAACAAAACATATGTTCTAACCATATTAACCCAAATTACCTTATGTGTCTAGCAATTTATATTAAAGTGTGTTCATTTTGAAAATGGTTGCCAAGTATTTTAAACAGTTGCCTTGGTTCCCACATGAAAACACAACACTACTGCAGAACATAGATGAGATCAGGGTAGTAGCAATGGTGGTTTTAAAACAGGGCTGCCAATTCAGGGATACACCTCCTCTGGAGGTATGGGGTTTATAACCCCCATTTTTTAGTCTCATTGGGCTTGTGACTCCTTCAACAGAGTGTGACAGAAGTAACACTATGTAACTTCTGAGACTAGGTCATAAGAGGCCATCCAGTGTCCAGCTTGGAGCCTTCAGCTGCCATAGGAAAAGGCTTACTACTACTCTGAGGTACTTTGCTATCAAAAAGCCCAAGACACCCACAAAGGCCACAAGTAGGTGTCCCAGCTGACAGTTCGGCTGAGCTCAGCCTGACAATCCTCCACGCCCAGGAGCCAAAATGTAAGCAAGGCAGCCTCTCAGTTAATTTCAGTCTTCCCAGACATTTGAAGCTTACTAGCAGAGGTCCCTGAAATCATGGAAATAAACCAGCCCCGCTATAGCCTGCCCAAATTCTGGACTTACAGAATCCACATGCATAATAAAATGGGTATTGTTTATACCACTAAGTTTACAGTTTATTATGTTACAACAGATAACTAGACAATATTATAGAAAGCAACTTACCTTCACAGCTTTCAATAGGACTAAGCCCTTCTCCTCTGGTAACCATCCAACATATCTTGGTTTGAATACCAATCAAGTCCATTATTTTGGTATAAATCCGGTACCAGCTGGCCAAAATTACCTATTTTTAAAAATATGGAGGCATTTTAAGAAAACACATTAAACAATTTTCATTACTAGAATATGTTTGAGATATTTTGACAATTATCATGTTTTTCCTTTCTATACCATCCACTTGGCTCCCTTTAAAGGTAGTAAAATGAGGCTCAGAATCTCCTAGGCAGATTTTTCACTGGTCAGTTTTCAAATGTTCATGCAAAATATAGGCCAAAAAAGTGCTAATTTATGTTTTACAAAAGCTATACAACTCTACTAAGAGACACAAAAGAAGATTTGCACAAATAAAAGAGACTGAGTCTACTGCAATAGATCAAATTATTTAAGACATGAATTCTCCCTCAAATTAATGCAGAGACATAAAATAACTCCAATCAAAATTCCAAGTTTTTAAAATGTATCTAGAAAACTAACAAGAAAACTAAAGGGAACGTTTTAACAGACATTACGTCTTATTACTTTTAATAATTAAAATAGTGTGATACTGGCACAAGAATGGCTAGACAGATCAATGTAACCATTGTGGAGGTAGTGGTAAGCCACCCTGATTCCCTTTTCCAGGATAAAGCACTTATTCCTCCAGCTGCTTAGAAGACTGGTACCTGGGAGCTAGAAGCTGAGTCCCACCCTGGGAAGTGCCGTGGCTGAAGAAAGTAAATTCACTCAAGGTAATGCCCCTTCACCCAAGGGCAATCTGCATCCAATGACTGACTAGTCAGTAGGGAAAGACAGCAAAGCCAGGGGCCCTTCTGTCAAGGTAGGACAACTCTGCAAGGCCATCCCAGATCCAGAGAGGCCCAAGGACTGGATGAGGCCTTCACTGTGACTGCATCAAAGCTCTCCTCTTTCTCCTGCCCCATTTGCTTCACTCACCCCCTTCAGGTGTGACCCTAATGGCACTCCCTCGATTATTTCCCCCATGCAAATCTCCATCTCAAAGTCCAATTCCGATGACCTCAACCTAAGGCAATACTGAGCACAAAATCCAGAAACACATGGAAGTATGTATGTATAATAATTTTGTGTATAAAGCAGAAAGCGTACATCAAATCAGTGGAAAGAAGATGGACTACTCATTCAGTGTTAAGTTACACACAATACCATTTTTTAAAAAAATTCAAGGTTAGATTCCTACCCCACCCTATGCATCAAAACCAATTCCAGATAAATGAAAAATGTAACTATAAAAAATGTAATTATGTTATAAAAATGAAGTTCTTTACATGTATGTATAAAAGATAAAAAATAAAAAGATTCATATATATATTTCTGTATAGAAAAAAAGACATACACAAAGCTAAAGGGCAAACAGAAAACTGGGGAAAATGTTTTATCATATAGCATTAGATTAATATCCAGTGTATAATAAATGAGCTCTTATAAAATTTTAATAGAAATATAGATAAAACACATGAATTGGCCATTATTTTTAAAAGTAAAAATGCATTATATGTATACGTGTATGTGTGTTATATAGAGCATTGAAATATATATATAAAATCAATGAGTGATATACATCATGTGACTTCAATTTTTTTATCCAATTAACAAAGATGCAGGTAAATTAAATAGTTTCAAAAACACTGCCTGTGAATAGTTCAATTAGTATAATCTATCTGGAAGGCCTTTTGACAAAATCATTAAAGTATATATTCTACTGAACTAAACAGTTCCACATCAACAAATTTACAGTTTTGCAAAGAGGATAAAGAAGAGACCAAATATCATCTCCACTTGCTGGATTGGGCTCAACTTCCCTCCACCCCCACTCAAGAAAGTACACTCAATTAAACAAGGATAGGGAAGAAAACATTTAACAAATGACATGTAAACGTTAACAGCGGTCCCTTGGTATAATCCCTACATACACACCAAATCTAGTTTTTGTGTTCTCTAAACAATGCAATCACAACAATAGTTCCCCACAGAATTAAAACCCCCTCCTCTTTCTTAACATATTCCTCTCCAAGATACATATTTTCTTTTAAAAATTTTAATACAATTTAACATATTGAATTATATCTTAGATTTAGAATCAGCACTTATTACAAAAAAGTTTTAAAAAGTGAAAAATCACAATTGGAAAAAGAACCTTACCTCAGGGTAAAGATTAAATCTTTTTAATGTATTAATAACAAGCGGGTATTCAGTCAGTTTATCATTCATAATCATCCATACTCCATTCAAAAATGAGGGTGCTTCCACAATAGTCTTGAAATAGGAATAATACAGTCCCTGAAATAAGGATATGCTCAGTTAAAATCACAAAAGGTACATAATTATGATGTCTCTACTAAGTAAATACACTGTTTTTGAAAAATGAAGCAATTAAGCAAGTAATAGCTATCAATACAATGAATTTCACAGGTTTCTGATCACTGATAAATCGTAAAGTTGTAAAAAAAAAAAAAAAAAAACCTACGTATTTTCACATAACCTTGACTTAATTGAAATAACTGAATACAAAATAGCTTCAAAAATAGTTTCAGCATTTAAAACAATATGACTCAGCATACTTCAACTTACAAAATCCTATTACCCATATTAATATAACTGTTAGAAAATGCTATCTTATGAATAGAGTGACTGGTTTATCATGGAACTAAAATTTATCATGAACCAAGATATCGCAAGCCAAAAATGATCCCCTAACTGCTTATTTTAATACCCAAAATGACACTATCAGTCATTTTTCCTCCAGATTTACATGCAAAAATGAAAATATGTTGGAAAGGCTACACACTGATGTATTATTACATATGAATTTCACTTTGGTGCTACCTAACTTTACAGATTATTTTCCCTCCCATCAATTAAGCATAAGGTAAGAACCCTATGGGACGGGGGAATGGTCCTATTTTGAAGAAAAGAGATAAACGTTTAGCTTGGCATACTACTTTGGAAATATAGCAAGAGAGGAATAATACGTGAGACAAAAAAAAAAAAAAGAAAAGAAAATACTAGAAGCCTAATGGGGAGTTCAAGTGGCAGTATGAGGGAGGACAGGAAAACATAAGACAAATCTGCGTCTTGTATTTACATCTTCAGGTTTGCCTGGAGCTGCCCTGGTAGCCAGTACCAGTAGCTGCCAAAGTCTAAACTGGGTTTAAGGCTCATAAATACAAAAGTGATATGCCTACCCAGAAATTTATTGAAAAAGAAAAAAATGGTCTTGATAACTCTGATGTATTAGCTCTGATATCGTTATTTTTAAAATTATGTTTCCAAGTATGCTGATTTGGATACTGTTCCCTAAAATTTCATGTCTACCAGCCCCTGTGGATGTGATCTTATTTGTAAATAGGATTCTTACAGACATGATCAAGTCAAAATGAGGTCATACTGAATTAAGGTGGACTCTAAACCCAGCACAACTGGTATACTTATATGAAGAGGAATAAGTGGCCTCAAAGCTACAGCCACACAGGGGAAAAGGCTGTGTGAAGGTGGATCAGAAATGGGGATGAGGCATCAGCATGCTAAGGAATTCCAAGGATGGCCAGCAACGACCAGACGCTGCAAGAGGCAAGGAAGGACTCTCCCCTCCAGCCTTCAGAGACAAGATGCCCTGCCAACACCTTAATGTCCCACTGCTGGTCTCTGAAACTGTGAGATAATAGATTTCTGTTGTTTTAAGCCACCTAGGTTGTTGTACTTCTTTATGACACCCCTAGGAAACTATACCTTCCTTCTTTTGTAGGTTTGATTTTGGAAACATAAATGTTTAATTATAAAAAAAATTTAAAAATCCCTAAATATCAAAATAAAAATGAAAGAAAGGAATGAACTATTTATCAACTTGGGAGAAGATTTCAAGTAACATAAGATACTGTAATTCTACCATATATCCCTAGTGGACTATATCCTAAGGTTAAAATGGAGCCAGGAATTTGGCAGGACTGGTTTCACAAGTTACAGGTCACAAAGACCCTGCTGATAATACAGGATGTGGTAAAGAAGCCAGCCAAAACCTGCCAAAATCACGATGGCAACTAAAGTGACCTCTGGTCATCCTTACTGCTCATTACATGCTAATTATAATACACTAGTATACTAAAGGAAACTCCCACCAGCAGCATGACACCATGACAATGTCTGGAAGTTACCCTATATGGTCTGAAAGTGGGGAGAACCTTCAGTTCCAGGAATTCCCCTTCCTGTTCCCAGAAAACTCATGAATAATCCATATGATGAAGTTCAGCATATGATGAAGACATAACCTTAAAAACAGTCAACCAGCAGCCCTCACAGCTGCTCTGCTTGTGGAATAGCCACTCTTTCATCCCTTTACTTTCTTAATATAAACTTATTTTCACTTTATTAGCACATTCTTGAATTCCTTTCCGCCCAAAGCCAAGAACCCATAAGACCTCCTGGGCTGAGCCCCAATTCTGGGGGTTGCCCTGTGAAGAACTGAACTACCAGACAATCTTAAACTCTTTTCAGTAATCACATTTTTAATTATACCTTTGGTACTTTTACTCCTAACAAATCAATAATGTGAAACCAACATTCTCAAACTAAGAGACTAATATCGAATAAGTAAAACAAATTGAATCTTAAATTTCCATTTAAAATATTAATATGAATTCATGGTTTATTTTCTCTTTAAAAAAAATTTGTAGCCTAATTCTGTTCTCCAAAAAGGCCAAGATACAATGACCAATCTAGTAGCAATGAGCATCTGCCACTGACAGGAATGGTGGCTCACTGGAAAACTGGCTGATGCCAGGTCTGAGAAGAAAATGTCTTATACTACCTGAAAGTAAGGAAGCTATGGATACTAGTGAGGTCATGTCAAGGGCAAACAGGGAGAGCTGCAAGGGCTTTACTAGCTAAAGACAAGAAGGTTTGCAAAATACATGAAAATCTATCATGTCATAATGATACTCCAAAAGAAGGTATTCCATTGATCACTATGAGAAGATGCTAGGGAAGCTACTCATTTTTCTGAAAATTGGTAAATAAAAAGAAAGAAAAAAGCATTTTCCTGTCTTTCCTCTATAAAGTATACCTCAAGAGAAACCAAAAGGTATTGTGTGAAACTTAATAGAATTACAGCTAATAAGTGCAGGAAAAAAATGATATAGTAGATATCACAGTTTGACAAGGATAACGAAATAACTAACCTAGGCTGATGGCTAGGCTATAGGAGGAATTAGCATCACAATACCTAAAGTCAGTGATCAATCTTAACATCACAGAAAGTGAGACACCAGATAGATGTGCCTCTTGGCCTGACACAATAAGAAGTACACAGCACCACCTAGCAAGTATTCCTGCCAGAAAAAAAGTCAATCTTCTGATCCATAAATGTTCAGGAAACTTGGGATACGGGAACATAATTTAAAAATGTGGATTGTTGTGGGTAATTCTATAGGACAAATAACCTGGATTTCTCAACAAACAAATGCAGGAAAACAAAACAAAAACAGGTAAAGGAATTCACAGATTAACTGAACGCAATGTGTAGGCACTGTTTGGATCCTATTCAAACACATCAACTGTTTAAAAAAAAAAAAAAGTGCCAAACAGGATATTTAAATACTGATTTCTGTTTGATGATATTAAGGATATTGCTAAATAAATGTTTTCTAGTATGTCTTGTGCCATGGTTTTGTGCCACAGTTAAAACAAAGTCCTGTCCTTGGAGACACTTATGAAAGTATGAAAGCATGAAATGATATAATGCCCAGGATTTCCTTTAACAAAAGATAGTGAGTGGGGGTGTAGATGAAGAAAAACTAGCTGTGGCTACCAGTTGTAGAAGCTGGAGCATCTACTCTTTCTAAAGTAGTAAATGAAATACCAAACAAAAACTAACCATTTCAGTGCGAAAAGCCATCTCCCTTTCCAATGTTGAGAGGTGAGAAAAATGACGGTCATTTTCAAAGAGGTGTGTTATATGGCTCCTGGAAAAACAAGAAAAGCAACAGTGTTAAAACTTACATTGTAAATTTTATTTTTTAAAGTAAGGCTAAAAGCAAAAATAAAAGTATCAATTAATTTGCAGATAATTTTGTAATAAAACAAATATGGATACAATAGTATCCATATTTGTTTTCCACTCAGTACATATCGCATTTATACTAAAAATTCCCTCTATAAAAAATCAAATTAGATTTTAAAATTAAAATGAACCAGATATTTTAAGTGAAGTGCAATAAAAGTATAGATTAAACTGTAAATGTCATTGGGTTACCATTTTAGAAACGTCTAATGAAATTCATATTTCTCTCTATCTAAAAGATTAAAAAAATTAATCTTCCTCTCACCATGAACATATTAATGTTGAGTCTCAAATATAGCCTCTTTAATAATGAATCTTTTATTAAACAATTATATTATTCTGACCCTGATTTATCAATTAAACTAGTTTTTCAGACTATTGTGTTACATGTAATATATATGCACACTGACTATGCTGAAATTATTCCTTTAAATGTATGGAAAATAGCTTTCGTAAGTTATAAACTTCTGCATGAAATACCAAAGGAGAAAAAAAAAAAAAAAAAAACAATCTTACCAGTGCAACACTGCTGCAAAAGCAGCTGTAAGAAAAAAGAAATTTAAATTAGAATTTTAGCATAAACATGTGCATACAGAAAAGCCCTTCAAAGAAAAGCATGTCAAATATTGCAATGTATAAATGTTGGACTCTTAGAGACTGGGTAAAGAATACTGGCTCTTTAAAAAAAAAAAAAAAAAAATACCCCAGGGCTATGTTTAAAATTGTGAATGACCGACTCATAAGGGAATTAAGCATACAGCCACAATTTTCATTCACTCAGTCATTCAACAAAATATATGAGGGCCTAATATCTGCTAATGTACAGAAAACATCAGTTGGAAACTATCGCTAATAAAGCTGAGACAGAAACGGAATCAACAGGTAAGGATAACTTAGAATAAAGAAATATGGTGGCTTAGGCGTACAGGATTGGGGGTGAGAGAAAAAAGGGAACTATCACTTCTGATACACTGCTGCAATGCCTGAGATTTTATGACAAATCCCACTTGTGTTTTTAAACACATTTAAAATGAAGTGAGTAAAGGAGAAAAAAAAAGGAGAAAAGAGTGAGAAACAAGCTAGTAATAAAATCAGTCTCTCATGAGAATCAATACCTTGCTATTTGTCCAAACAGAAAGAACATACTAAAGGGCCGGGACTGGTGGCCGACGCCTATAATCCCAGCACTTACGGAGTCCGAGGCGGGTGGATGACAAGGTCAGGAGTTCGAGATCAGCTTGGCCAATATGGGGAAACCCTGTCTCTACTAAAAATACAAAAAATTATCTGGGCATGGTGGAGTGCACCAGTAGTCCCAGGTGCTCGGGAGGCTGAGGCAGGAGAATTGCTTGAACCTGGGAGACAGAGGTTGCAGTGAGCTGAGATCACACCACTGCACGCAAGCCTGGGTGACAGAGCAAGACAACATCTCAAAAAAAAAAAAAAATACACACACACAAAAAGAAAGAACATACTAAGATGAACTCAGAAGAGACACCACTTGATTTTCTTATATCACAAGACACAGCCAATTGCAGGCTTCTGATTAAATAACTCTTAACTAAGGAATCAAACTATGAAAATACTCTTAGAAATGAAACCCAAGCCAGGCACAGTGGCACATGCCTGTAGTCTCCATTACTGGGGAAGCAGAGACAGCATCACCTCTTGAGCCCAGGAATTCAAGGCTGCAAGCAGTGTGCTATGACTGGGCCTGTTAATAGTCACTGCACTCTAGCCTGGGAAACACAGTGAGACCCTGTCTCAAGAAAGAGTAAGAGAAAGAGAGAAAGTAAGAAAGAGAGAGAGAGAAAAGAGAAAAGAAAGACAGAGGAGGAGAAAGGAGAAGGAAAGAAGAAAGAGGAAGAGGAAAGAAGAAAGAAGAAGAGAGGAGGAAGGAAGAAGAATAAGGAGGAAGAGAAGGAAAGAAAGAAATGAAAACCAAAAAGATTAGATCTTATTGTCTTATTTTTAATGCCATATTTATATTTTCAATTTAAAAATCCATTTTGCCTTGGAAATATGAATGGTTACTTCTAGATTATTGAAGTTACAAATATCTAACAATATTTCAGTTGACTTTTCTTAGTAAGATATACTGATGTTTTGAAATTTTAAATTTTTTTATTGTTAACAAATCTACCATTTGCTTCCTTTTAATTTCTGTCTTTAAAAATGTTATCTGCTAGGCTCATGACTATAATCTCAGATACTCGGCTGGAGGAAGTAGGAAGATCACTTGAGGACAGGAGTTTGAATCTAGGCTGGGTAACACAGCAAGATCTGGTCTTTACAAAGCACATGCCTATAGTCCCAGCTACTCAGGAAGGCTAAGATGAGAGGATCGCTTGAGCCCAAGAGGCTGACGTTGCAGCAAGCTATGATCACGCCACTGTGCTCTCTAGCCTGGATGACACAACAAGATCCTGTCTCTAAAGAAAAAAAAAATTCATCCCAACATAATAAAATTTGGTCTTTATTTTCACAATGATTCAACTAACATTTTTTGAATAAGTCACTTTTCTCCCATTCAATGTAAATGCAACCTTTATTAAGACTTGCCACACTTTTACTCTGGTAACCCCTTTGAGGTTATAACTGGATTTTCACTTATAAAATTAATTTGAGAAGAATTTACATGTTTACAACATAGAGTCTTCATATCCATAAATGTGGTGTGTACGTATATATACATACGTTGTATATATAAGTATGTGTATATATACACACCATATACCTTCAGTTGTTCAAATTGGTTTTCAATAGTCCTTGAGAAAAATTCTACAGGTACTGTTAACATATGCGTTTCTTATGAAGTTTCCCCTGGGAGTTTAATATTTTTTCCTTCTAATATTCATATAATGTTTTTTATTATACGTTATTGGATATTGTTACAGTGTTTATTTTTGAAGAGTATTTATTTTGCAATGCATTTATTTTGGTTTATTTACAAAACTGTTAATTCATATAGATTTTTAACTTATCTTCAATTCTCCATTTTATTGTATTTTATTTTATTTTTGAGATGGAGTCTTGCTCTGTCACCCAGGCTGGAGTGCAGTGGCATGACCTTGGCTCACTGCAACCTCCACCTCCCAGGTTCAAGCATTTCTCCTGTCTCAACCTCCTGAGTAGCTGGGATTACAGGAGCATGCCACTGCCTTCATGCCTGGCTAATTTTTGTATTTTTAGTAGAGACAGGGTTTCGATATGTTGGCCAGGCTGGTCTCGAACTTCTGACCTCAGGTGATCCGCCCACCTCGGCCTACCAAAGTGCTGGGGTCACAGGCGTGAGCCATCACACCCAGCCCTAATTCTCCATTTTAAACAATATTATTCATATATAATAATTATGTTCCCATTTTATAATTTTACTATTAGTTTATTCTTCCTATTTGACAAAAATAATAAACTTTTAGAATATTATTAAACAATTCTGGTAAATGGGGGCATTCTTGGCATTGGTGGTATAGTGGTGAGCATAGCTGCCTTCCAAAAGGAGCATTCTTGACTTCTGCCAACTTTAACAGAAATGCACTTCACATTATGCCATTAAGTTGGCCTTTGACCTTCACAATTCTGGAGTGCTAACTAGGATTTGTCAAGGTCATCATCCCTTTATGTCCTTAAAATACCATGCTTTCTCAAAATAAGGATGGGAGGTGCAAGAGGCCTCTGGTGCCTTGCTTTAATTGGCTTCCTCCAGCATTAGACAATAGACAAGGACAATACTTGGAGTACCTGGCACTCTTTCAGTCTCCAGGGTCCATTCATAATCTGTCCAATGTTTTGAATTCCTTTGTTCATTTCAATTAGTAATAATAATGATGAGAACAAAGAAGCTAACACTTGAATGCTTATTACATACCCAACATTTTATAAGTACTTTACTTGTACTAGCCAAATAAATCCTCACAACTACCCTATGTCATATGTACAAATATTTCCACAGTACACAGACTAGAAGTTGAGGCACAGAGTAGCTGAGTAACTTGCATAAGAATTCACACCAAGTAAACCCAGAAAGGGAGGCTGGACTCAGGTATTCTGACCTGCATTGCATGGCTGCTGTAGAAAGAGGATGGAATAGATGAAATAAAAGCCTACGCCTACTTACCCTAAAGTATTCCTACTTCCCCCCACCTTATTTTTGTAATCTTAAATATAAAAGGAAAAAAAAAATGCCACCATTCATCTGCTTATACAGGAAGTATATTTTATAGAGGCTACTAATTTTACATAAAATTTGGAGATATATTTTATTTAAAAATTGAAATATATTATACATATGTATGTCATTTGAACATGAAAGTCCCAGTAAAGCAAATACTGACTTGTGACTACGTAAGAATAAAAACGAAAAATGACAAAAACTTCTGAAGCCCCTAAAGAGCTTTTTTTGCCTTCTTGCCCACAGAAAAAAGAATATTTTAGATGATTTTCTCTAGGTTTATTCCAGTGATTATCGACCTTTTTAAGAGTGTAATAAAACTGATAATCCATTTTTTTTCCACTTAAACACAGGTGCCGTTTTTTGGCATTCTAAGAAACTGAGATAAAGATAGCATTTTAAAAAATCAGAACATAAACTATATTTTTAAAAAAATCCAAACCTATTCTGTAAGAAAAAGGTGTTCAAGGAAAGAAGGTTTGCTATGTAATCTAATTCAAAAAATCTCAATCCTATGGTTGAGACTTTTGTAAGGTTCATAATTTTGCTGGAAGCACAAAAATTCCCTACAATCTAAAGCTAAATTAGACACTACAAGATGCTGCATTAACTCTTTCCGATTAAAGAAAATTTACACCAGACTATATGTCACATTATATCAATTTTCAGTCTTATGGGATCTGAGAGGACTCTACTGATAATTATTCACCTCCTGTTATTAGAATCTTGTTTAAACAAAACAGAGTATAACTCCCTGAGGGTGGAAACAATGTTTTACCAAACTTTACTCCAGTACTTATTAGCACAAAGCCAAGCACTCTCAAATGTTTGCTGAATTAATGCATAAAGCTTGATATAATTAAGAGGGGGAATGAAATAAAACCATGTCTTAATAATCAATCTCAATTGAATATATTTTGATAGAAAGATATATACATGCACACGTGTGTCATCCTTTTTCACAAATCGAGCCCCCATTTACTTCATGTAGATTAGACACCTGGTCCACAGGCAGCCAGCTCCCTGCCCTCTTCCAGTGGGGCATGGATCCCTGACACCTTGGTGCAGGAGGCGGCGCGGGCACTCCCCTCGGAGAAGTTTCCCGGCCCCCAGCCCCAGCTCCAGCTGGCCTGCTCCCAGTCGACGTCTCTTTCCTGCCCCAGCTCTCTGGAAGCCACCGTTCTTTCCAGCAATTCCTGTGTCCTGGACAAGTGGGGAGGGGAGTTCTCCTGCCCCAGTCCCCCATGTCTGGCCCACAGAGAGTACATCCTCCCTCTCCCGATTACCCCAAACCCTGGCCATTCTTAGACTCTGACCTGAAGGTCACCGGGAAGGAATGCTGTGATCTGCAATTTTACAATTCCCCAGTT